ATATATATTTGTTGAAATATATTTATCTACATATATTTTCTACCAGCCATTTTATTTTTGTATATTTTGGAAAATATATTTTAAATATAGAAATATGTATTTTTAAAAGCATGTATTTTGACCTCTATATATTTCAGTCCAAGAAAATGCATTTTCTTGCCCCAGAAATATAAGGTTTGAAACTAAATATATTTCATTGAGCTTCCCTGTTTGCACATATTTCAATTATATTTTGGCCACAAATTATTTTTTTTGCCATATGGGTGCCTCCATTTCTTTCTGTTTTGTTGCCAAGACGGCATCATCGTCCACCTTGTATTTAGCTTATGTTAAAACAGTGCTCCTGGCCACTACAAACTTTTTCATAAACATAATCTGCGGGACACACTCAGCCCCAAATGCTGCTCCTAAGAGATGTTCATGATATTATCAGACATGGGAGAGTCATACTGGAAGTGTGGATATTTGGATAGGACAAATCTTGTAGTTATTCACCTATAGTTGCAAAATAAGGTGGATAATATTTAACAACATATGAGTAGATTGACTTTTATTTTATATTAGACTTTTATTTTGACGAGTGGCGCGCAGGAAGTGCGTCACACACGCTGGCATCGCTGAAGGGATTTCCGTCAACAACAGATCAATTTGATCAAAACATCAATGACAGGAAACTGGTTTTTCGTGATCTTTTAAGCTCGTTGTGTGTGAAATATATCTAGCTAAAGCTGATTTCAGTATTCACATCTGTTCAAACGAGTCTGACACGTAAGACAGAGCGTTATTGTTATTATTATTACCGCTTTGAAGATCTTGTTTATGAACTTATGTGTTGTTAGTTGTTTATTTCACTGTGAGTACACGACAGTGTTCTTTTCTTTTCGTGGTATAGAGATGGTATTATGGTAGTAATATACCGTGGTACTGAATAATTACTTCTTTTTTTATGTACCATGGTTTTTATGAAACTGACGGGGCTCAACCTGCAGCAAGAGTCTGTTTTAAAACATAGTAATAATGAAAATAATAATACAAATATTAAGTGTCACCGAGTTGTATAAATGACAGCGTCCTCTGGATCATGTAACCGCACTCTGTCTGCAGAGAAATCATTTAAATTGAAAAATCTGCTGAGTATGTGACCCTGGAGCACAAAAGCAGTGTTAAGTCTCAAGGGTCACATATTTGTAATGATGGATCGGCTGGGATTTGTCTGTTTTGGGGTTTGTTTCAGTGCAGGATGAACGCTCAGGGGGTGCGCAGGGGCTTCAGCGTCCAGCAGTCTGACCTGATGTGTAAGAGAGGATGCGGTTTCTACGGCAACGCCGTCTGGCAGGGCCTCTGCTCCAAATGCTGGCGTCAGGAGAACCAGTGCACCTGAGCCAAGCAGATCGAGGCCGACAGAGCGCTGGCCGAGAGGTGAGAGACTGGACGATGAATGATGGTTTCACTCTCCTGTGGTCAGCTGCTGTAGTGCTGTGTGTCTGTCAGGCTCCAGAGAGAGGAGGAAGCAGCGTCTGCCAGCAGCCGTGAGGAGGCGCGTTCACGACCAGAATCCTCCAGAACACACAGCGTGCCCATAGTGAAGAGGCTTTTCACCTCCGCTCCCAAAACACCTGCAAGGAGAGGTACGACAGTGAGTTTAGAGTGCGTCACACACAGGGTTCACTTGGCCATGGAAACATGGACAGAGAATACACCTTAAAAATGCATTAAAATTTCTATTGTGACTATACAGTGTATGTATATATATATATATATATATTAGTGCGGTCAAATGATTAATCGCGATTAATCGCATCCAAAATAAAAGTTTTTGTTTGCATAATATATGTGTGTGTGCTGTGTATATTAATTATGTATATACAAATACACACACATACAGTATGTATTTTGAAAATATTTACATCTATATTTATATTCATATAATTTATATTATAAATAAATAGATTAATCGCATCCAAAATAAAAGTTTTTGTTTGCATAATGTATGTGTGTGTTCTGTGTATATTTATTATGCATATAAACACACACACATGCCTGTATATATTTCAGAAAAATAAGTTATGTTTATATATTAAGTGTATTTATTTATTTATAATATAAATTATATGAATATAAATATAGACGTAA